TGGAGGCTCTCAGCTGGCTATGTGTTAACATAGTCCGTGGAGGCTCTCAGCTAGGCTATGTGTTAACACAGTCCATGGAGGCTCTCAGCTAGCTATGTGTTAACACAGTCCAAGGAGGCTCTCAGCTGGCTATGTGTTAACACAGTCCGTGGAGGCTCTCAGCTGGCTATGTGTTAACACAGTCCGTGGAGGCTCTCAGCTGGCTATGTGTTAACACAGTCCATGGAGGCTCTCAGCTGGCTATGTGTTAACACAGTCCATAGAGGCTCTCAGCTGGCTATGTGTTAACACAGTCCATGGAGGCTCTCAGCTGGCTATGTGTTAACACAGTCCGTGGAGGCTCTCAGCTAGCTATTTGTTAACACAGTCCATGGAGGCTCTCAGCTGGCTATGTGTTAACACCGTCTGGGGAGGCTCTCAGCTAGCTATGTGTTAACACAGTCCATGGAGACTCTCATCTAGCTATGTGTTAACACCGCCCATGGAGACTCTCAGTTGGCTATGTGTTAACACAGTCTGTGGAGACTCTCAGTTGGCTATGTGTTAACACAGTCCGTGGAGGCTCTCAGCTGGCTTTGTGTTAACACAGTCTGTGGAGGCTCTCAGCTGGCTATGTGTTAACACTGTCTGGGGAGGCTCTCAGCTGGCTATGTGTTAACACAGTCCATGGAGGCTCTCAGCTGGTTATGTGTTAACACAGTCCATGGAGGCTCTCAGCTGGCTATGTGTTAACACAGTCCGTGGAGGCTCTCAGCTGGCTATGTGTTAACACAGTCCGTGGAGGCTCTCAGCTGGCTATGTGTTAACACAGCCGTGGAGGCTCTCAGCTAGCTATGTGTTAACACACTCCATGGAGGCTCTCAGCTGGCTATGTGTTAACACAGTCCGTGGAGGCTCTCAGCTAGCTATGTGTTAACACAGTCTGTGGAGGCTCTCAGCTAGCTATGTGTTAACACAGTCTGTGGAGGCTCTCAGCTGGCTATGTGTTAACACAGTCCGTGGAGGCTCTCAGCTGGCTATGTGTTAACACAGTCCATGGAGGCTCTCAGCTGGCTATGTGTTAACACAGTCCATGGAGGCTCTCAGCTGGCTATGTGTTAACAC